GTGGTTGATTTCTTGATGATAGCTATTCTTTCTAAAGTGAGATGGAATCTCAGTGTTAATTTGTTATTTGTTGAATGACCAGTGATGTTGAACATTTTTTCATGTATTTATTTGCTGTTTGTATTTCTTTATGCGAGAAGTATTTGTTCACTTCAGATGCCCATTTTTGGATTGGGTCTTTAAATTTGGAGGTCTGATTTTTTTTAATTCTTTATATATTCCAGATATTAGTCTTTTGTCTGAGGAATAGGTAGAATTTTTTTTCCTGTTCTACGGCTTGTCTCTTCCACTGTTGGTGGTTTCTTTTGCAGTATGAGAACCCACTTGTTCTTTGTAATATTTCCTGTGCAGTTGGGTTTTAGGTCTTTGCTTGCATCTATGTCTTCAAGAGTTTAACCTATTTTATCTTCCAGCAGATTTCCTTTTTAAATTTAGATCTTTGATCCATTTTGATTTTAGTACATAGTGAGAGATACGAGCCTAGCTTTAATCATTGGCACATGGAAAGCCAGTGTTCCCCATGCCATTTAATAAGGCTGTCTTTCTTCCAGTGAAGGTGACCCCTTTGTCAAAGATAAGTTGGCTGGATATGCTTCTACATCTTTTCTGCTGTTCCACTAATCATTGGATCTGCTTTGGATTTTCTTTTTCTTTTTTTCAGTACTATTTTTATCACAGTAGCTTTGTAGTATAAAAATTAGTGGACTACGATGCCCGTGATTGCTTTTGAGTTTGCAATATTAGGATTGTTTTATCTAATTCTGTAAGGTACGCTACTAGTATTTTGATTGGGGTTGCATTAAATCTGTGTAAAATTTTGTAAGTATGGCCTTTTTCACCAAATTGGTTCTGCCTATCCAAGAACAAGGGGCTACTTTTCTATTCTCTAATCTGCAGCTTTTTGATCTTAGAGTACTGTAGTTTTCAATGTAAAGGTCTTTTACTTTATGAGATGGATTCCTTGTAAAGAAAATGTGCTCCCCCAGCCAGCATACGTCAGTTTCCTAGCCGCCTAGGCAACAGTTCCTGGTGCAGTCCCAGTAGCTTCTGTCTCAGAAAGGGTGGGCACCATGATGTACAGCTGGTCACTGTGATGCACACTGTAAGAATCAACCAAAGGCAGCCAAGTACTCTACCTCTGTACCGCCCTTTGCAACCTCATAAAAACCTCCCTCCCTGGGTCTTCAGTGTCTGATGTTTTGAGAAAGATCCTAATCAGTGCTCCTCAACAAAATAAATCTGCCTTCAAATCCTGGGTGTCGATTCTGTGTTTCTGCTACCCATTGTACCTAAGTATTCATTTTTCTTGATGCTATTGTGCATGGTGTCATTCCCCTAATTTCTCTCTCTCTGAGTTTGTGACAGACAGCTATTGATTTTTGAGTGTTGACTTTGTGTCCAACTACACTACTGAGTTTATTAAATCTAGGAGTCTTGTGGTAGTTTTGGGGATCTTCTATGCAGAATATCATGTCATCAGCAAACGATCATTTAACTCCTTCCCTTCCTATCCTTATTCATTTCTTTCCTTGCCTAACTGCTCTGGCTAATGTTTCCAAAACTATATTTAGTAAGAGTGGTGATAGTGGACATCCTTGTCTTGTCCTGATTTGAGTGAGTGTTCAGTTTTTGACCATTTAGTATGATGTTGGTTGGCTGATGGTTTGTCAGGGATGGCTTACCAGGTTAAGATGAAGACCTGTTTCAGTTTTCTGTAGGGTTTTATGAATGGGTGTTAGACTTTGTCAACTGCTTTTTCTGCATCTACTGAGATGATCGTGTGCTCTTTGTCCTTGGTTCTGTCAATGTGGTGTATTATATTTATTGATTTGCATATGTTGAATCATCCCTGCATCACTGGGATGAATCCTAGTCATGGTATATAATCTTCTTGAAGACTTGCTACATTCTGTTTGCAGTATCTCACTGAGGATTTTTGCATCTATGTTTATGAAGGAGATTGGCTGGTAGTTCTTTTTTGGTTGGATCTTTCTCTGGTTTTGGTGTCAGGATAATGCTTGCTTCCAGGAATCAGTTTGGGAGTACTGGTTCCCTTTCAGTTTCATTGGTTTGAGGAATAGTGGCATTAGATCTTCTTGGGCTTTTTTGCTGGTGGTGGTTTTGTTTTAAATTATACCTTCAATTTCATTGATAGTGGGTTATTTAGAATTTTTACTCTTGACTCAGCTTTGGTAATTCATATGTATCTAGAAATCTGTCCATTTCTACTGTGTTTTCCGTCTTATTAGACAACAGCATCTACTGAGTCAAGCAACTGCCCATCCTGGGCTTGAATTTGCTAATCCTTTGCCTCAGCCTCTCTGTTGGGATTTCAGGCATGTGTCACTGTGCTGCCTGGATCTTAATTTTAAACTAATCTGCTCTGCTTTTTAAACTGAAATCTTTAATACACTTTTTATGTGGATGTTGGTCACCTTAATGGTCACAGTTTTCTTCTCATTTTCCTCCTTTCCTGTCTTCTGAGTTAAACATACCAATCTTCATTGTTTTCAAGTCACACTTGCATTATCCTCTTAGTAGTTGCTCTGTTCAACTTTTTAAATTACCCGAATTTTTAAATGGGATAAATCTATGGATTTCTATTCAAATCCACTCATTCTTTTGGAATATCCATTGGTTTACAGAAGGAATTTTTGTTGTTTTTGAGACAGGATCACCCTCAGGCTGGCCTTAACTCACAACCCTCATGCCTTGGCTTCCTGAATGCCGGAGTTACATGCGTGAACCACAGTGCCTGGCTAGAATGAACGTTTGTTCTTGAGTGTCTGTCTGATAATTTTGATTTCTCTATTTGTTCATTTTCTATGATCATTTTTTCTTGTGCCCTTGATATACTTAACTACTTAAAATTCTGTTTCTTATGAAATGCGAAATCATTTTGGGTCAATTTCTAATGACTTTTATCTTGATTATCATTTTGCTGCTTCTCTGCATTACTAGTAATTGTTTTACTGTGTGAAGCACGTCAAATACACCTTGTGTAGTGTCTGGATTGTGTCATCTTCATCCTACAGAGTTCTAGTCTGAGTGGGACTATTTGAATTCAATCCAGCATGACCCATGACTAGCTGACTTCCTGTTTCTGTAAACAAGTCCCCATTTCTGCATTGATTGTGGCTCCTCTGTACTGTAATCAGAGAAATGAGTAGCTGTGACATGCACGTACGTGCCTCAGCCCATAGAGGCTGCTGTAATGAAATGCCTTAGACTGGGTAGTTACAAGCAACACAGATGCGTTTCTCCTACTTCTAGAAGCTGGAAGTCCACTCGGGTCAGCACAGTCAGTGTCAGAGGGTCCGCTCCTGGTTCATAGCACCTTCTGGCTGTGTTCTCATGTGGCAGTGAAGGCAAAGGAGCTCTCTGGGGTCCCTTTTATAGGGGCACTAAATCCTAGGAGGCCCCACTTCCAATGGTGTCACACTGGCGATTAGATTTTGACCTGTGAGTTTGGCAGCGGGTGGGGAGAGAAGCACTTGGTCTGTAGCAATGTGGCTCACAAACCGAAGCCAGATACTTTCTGCCTCTTTTAACGAGGGGGATGGGGAAAGGGGAGATATACTGTGTACGGGTACAAACTCCCTAAGGTGAATGTGACCACTGTGTCTTTCTAAATTGTACCAGTAAATTTTTTTTAATTTGCTAATCCCTCTTCTAGGGTGTTCTCCTAACTCCTAAGGTGTTACATTTCCTGAGTAGTAATGAATGCCTGTGTATTTGCAAGGTCTGTCCACGTGAACGCTTAGGTGGGCAGCTCCAAGGACTCCTATTACGTGTAACCTCTCGGCTCACTGTGCAACCCCAGGTGCAGAGCAGGAGCTCTTCGCTGGGTCTTAGTGGTTCTTTTTGCTCATCAGCATCCCAGTCCTTGTCTCTGGGGAGTCCTTGTGCACATCTCTGCCTGTTTCCTCTGGCTCTTTTTTTTTTGTACTGGGGATCAAACTCATGACCTCACTCTTGCCAGGCAGGCACTTATGCCAGTGAGCTAAATCCCCAGCCCCCCTGGCTCTTTTCTTAAATTCTGTCTTCCAGATCCCAGTTCCTTAGTAGCCCAAACCTCTGACAGTGGATCGTCACCCACCCTGGGCCGAACCTCAGTGATAAAGCTGGGAGCCACCAAGCAAAACCCTGGGAGGCTCAGCTGTGTGCGATTTAACATCTTGTGTCTCCTTTCTCTCAGAGAGCACAACAGTGCGGTGCCGATGCCTGAAAATACGTGCTCACAGGGGTCCTGTCCAGATTTGTAGTTGTTTTGGGAGACAGGGCAAACCTGGAATCAGCTGCTGTGTACTGATAAGAAAAAGCTGCTCATGCAAAGCCAGAGATCCTAGATAATGCAGGCTGCCCTGCTGATCCTCCCTGCAGCCTTGCGTTCCTGACATGCAGAACGTCACAGCGTGCATGTTAAGCGTGTCCGGTTGCCTTGCTCAGCCCTCATAGCACAAAGCAAACACACAGGAAGTCATGTTCAGGACGCACGGCTGAGACAGCCCCCAGCATCAGGCAGCAACTGAATCTGCTGTGCTGGTTTCTCTTGACTTTGCAGATCAGGGTCAGCAGCCCTTTCGTATAAAGAGCCAGACAGAAGGTATTTCAGAGTTTGTGGAGTTCGTGGGCCATCGTCTGTCACAGCTATTCAATTCTGCTGTGGTAGTACAAAAGCCACTCTTGACCATACATGAAAAATGAATGTGGCTGTCTTCTAACGTTTACATAAACAAGTGGCTGTAATTTGGCCCAAGAGCAGTTGTTTACCAGTATAGATAAATCTACATGGTAAAAGTTTTAGAGCTTGAAAAAATGCTTTCTGGATTTTTTTCATATGCTAATTTTACTGATTTCACTTGATAAAGCTGATTGTGTTTGCTCACATTTCCTCCAAGTGATCAAAGTAGTAAGAAGAGCTTAGTGTGTCTGTGTCATTGAATAATATGTTCTTTTCCGTCCAATGACTTCAGTGTGCAAACTCCTTCTCTCAACAGACAGACACCGATGAAGAGTGACGGGAACGCTGGCCTCTAAATTGTGCAGAGGGCCCGCGGGGCAGCATCGTGCAGCTGGGCTGCATTGCTTCCTGCTGATGCTGCTGGCTCAGCCTCTGCCACTGCTTGCCCTGGCACTGCTCACAACATGGGCTGCGTTAAATCAAAGCAGACTTTCCCGTTTCCTACCAGCCTCGAGACTGGCAAGCAAGGTGGGAGTGAACAGAGCTTTATTCCAGAAGAGAGGGTACATAGGTTGACTTCTCCATGTAAAGCCCAAGGGGACATGAACACACACCCTGGGGTCACCACGGCAGTTTCTGAGTACGCAGACCGCCTATCCCGGGAGATCCTGCATGACGCCGTGCAGCAGTGGGCTCGCAACCATGTCAAGTACTCCGATATCCCCTACATTGAGAATGAGGGCCCTTGACCCTGGGGATGCAGCACTCTGCTGGACTGTGGGTAGTCGGTGCTAGTACAAATACATGAGCCAAAAGCAGACCTGTGTAAGTCATGTAAAAGCGTGTATGATGGTGTTGCCAGCGCACGAATACCTCAGGTGAGGTGTTTTGTAAGCAGCCCTGTGTCAATAACAATTTGGAGCTGCTTGCTCATGGATTCGGGTCATGGAAGGGCTCAGCGGGGACCTGTGGCACCCAGTAATCAGGTGTATGTCACACCACTTTCATTCAACACAGCAATGGCATCGCCAAAGAAAACACTGAGGAATAAAAAGCCATACATTCCAAAAAGGAACAGAAAATTCCTATTTATCAAAATTCCCAGACAGGAAGGGTTTTGCTTTTTTCTCAAAATGTCGTGGCAAGAGAAAGGCACTGACACCACAGTGATCTGCAATGGGTCTTGTCTGCCAAAACCATTTGCATCAAAGATTCCACGGGTGAGAAAGCCACCTGTCCAGAAGAGGGTCCGCCTCGATCCTCGGTGCCCTCATGCACCACCGTTAGTGGAGGACCCCGAATGCACGGTCAAACCTTGGACTGTGAGTAACTTCAATCCGTGAGTCTGAGAGACAAGCGAGCATTTCTAAGAAACCTGACCCTGATGAACACGTGCTCACTGGAGCAGCACCGTGTGGTGGATGCCGCATGATCACAGCTGGTTCTCTCACTGCTTTAGTGCTTTGGATTAGGAGTGGGATGAATGCTTGCAATCCAAGGTTTCACTGTGCAGCCATCCTAAAAAGACACTTTTGACTGAGGCTATGACGTTACTGTTTATTGCATTCAGTTAAGAAACTATGTACTTAATTGCCTTTTAGGGGGAAAAAAGCCAGTAAATCTTAAAAATAGCAGAAGCCTAGCCTGCATTGTAGAAGACAGAGCTGGTGTTACTGTGGTTGGCTGTGACATTCCAGTGGCTCAGCGATACCACTGCTGGTAGAGGGGCCACGTGCCATTCAGATCACACAGGCCCAGAACACTCCTTCAGGGAAATCTGTGTGTACTGCTTTTGGGGTAACCCATGCCCATAGGGCATTTTTTGCCATACCCTATATTCTCAAACTTAAAAAGTGTCATAGCACAGTTTTTAAAAAAATTATTTGATGATCAAAGACAAAATCTAGGAGGGGAAGAAGATTACTGAGAGGATGAAACAGGACTAAGAGTCATCTTTTTCATCCAGATTCGCTGCACACTGAGCGTGGCTGGCCACAGCCCGTATGTGTCAGAGCCTCTCACACGGTGTAATACATCGGTGCCACTGAAATCTTAAGGCAGGAAAAGGCTTCTGCTCGTAAGCAACAGAAAAACTACCTCTACTTGCATAGCACTTTGAAGCCACACTGAAATGAGTGTTAGCTGGAACCTTTCTAACACTGTCGGACACCTACTCATTCAGCTGTAATTTCACCTCACCCCGCAATGCCCACTGTTCACTGCTTCGTATAATGAGTACCCCTCCCACCAGACCAGTGTCTCGGGCCTGCAGGGAAGCCAGGAGGTTTCCTAAAGCACCGAACCTTTACAGCCATCATGTGTTCCTACGAGTGACTCAGGCAAAAGCCTAGATGTTTTCCACTCATTTTGTATTTCGCATCAGAATATTTTTGCCACTTAAAAGATACTTAAGTATATAAAACAGTACATTCTCCAGTGAGAATACAAAGCCATATGGCAGTGTGTCACCGAGTTTTCAGCACAGGTGGAAACATGACTAGTGGCTTTGGTTACATCTGAGTAGCATAGTTTGTGTGTCCTGTGGCCCGTGTCCCAAGCCATGGTTCATGTCCATGTGGCAGCTCCATGTCCAGATGTCTCATCCCTGCCGCGTGCTCGGCACCTCGAGTAGTTTCACCACCAAGCGGGAGCCCTCAGCGAGCGGCCCCAAGGCTTGTGTACCGGTGAGCCATGGGTGACGCTCACGGAGGAGGAGTAAAGTTACACGCCTGGGACAGTTATCGGGGTGCAGCTCAGGCTCAGTGCAGTGACAAAACTGATGATCAGCTCCTTTTGTGAAAAAAGTAAAGAAGCCCAGTGGAATGGGTGCTGCGGGAGCCAGCGCCCCTGGGAAGGGAAATTCATGCCTCTGCTGGCACCAGCAGCTCAGGTGGAGTGAGGGTCAGCAGGCACGGAAGGTCAGCTCTTCCTCCTCACATCGGTCGGGATGCCGACACCCTCCACAGTAAGCCTCCCCGCTGCTGCCTCCCCAGCTGCAACCCTTCAGGCCCGTGCCTCTGGTCCCAGGACACACCACCCTCAGTTGCCTTATAAGTTTGCCAACTGCCGCTGGCTAGTAGCACAATTTTGAAGGAGACAAAGTGATGATCATTTTAGGCCCAAAGAAATAGTTTGTGTCAAACTGCCTGAGTATTCAGAATCAGCCCTGGACCAGCATGATGCTCCGACCTGCTCAGTGTCACTGCCGAGGCGTGAGACCAGGTGGAAGTGGATGCTGGTATCACAAGATCGTGATTTCCACGATCATGTCATGTCAGCAAACAGTAGTTTAAAAACAAAGTTCTGACAAGTGTATGCTTTAGTCACAATGCCCTTACCCTGTCTGTAAATGACAAGCCGTGCTCCTGCCCAGCTCGGGGCATCCGTCACCCCTGTTTATGGAGTTCGCTTTCCGCCAGCAGACCCTCCCCCTCCTGCACGAGCAGCTAGCTGGGACGTAGTGTATGTTCCCAAATGTCTGTGTGAAAACATTTTTGTAAGCATACAATAAATTCCAGTTTCAATTACCTACGAGTTATTTACTTCAAAATATTTTTTTCCAATTTTTTTTAATAGGAAAGGCTCACCATGGCCTGCCCTGCTCCAGGTGTACAGTGAGTCCACATCCATTTGTGTAGTTTCTTATTTAGGCCCAATTTCGGAGTTTTAAAATGCTAACTGTAAACCTGTCCGATGTGATAGCACCTGGATTCCAGATTTGTCCTTCGGTTGTCTAGAAGGAGAGGTGAGCCATTCCTCCTGGGCTGCCTCCGAGGAGTGTGAGGCCCTGATGCCCTTCACACCTGGGGCCTCTAGTTCCTACATAAAGGTCTCGGTTTCTTTGGGTTGGGATGGAGACACTGTAGAGAGGAACTACGTCCTGTCTGAAACACACTGCAGTTCCTTGCATGTCTTAAAAAACACTTGTCAGCCTTACCGATTGAAGGTATGTTAAACTGCTTTTAACAAAAGTTTAAATTACAACAAGCAGAGGGCACTTCAGGGACTGGGGTCTGTGACTCCCCCAGAGCAGCAAATGCTTCAAGTAAAGGGCGCTTTTAGACTCCTGGCCCCTCGGGAAGGCCGGGGCTGGGGCGAGGGGGTGTTGGGGCTCCCTCCACGGACACAGCTCGTCTTTGCCCATGATTCCTCATGTTTCTAAAAGGAACTCGTCTGCTAAAATAAAATCAAAGAAGGACCATCTGTGAAACACTCATACAGCTTCCGCCCCCAAAATTCAAGACCTTTTTATAATCTATACCTGTTTGTTTAATCAACATATAAATCACTACTGAAAGCTACATCCAAGGTTCTCATTTCAGATGTATTTAATCTCCAGAGACTTCGGATTTTCCTTTGTTCTGTTATTTTTTTTTGAGACAGGGTGCAGGCTGGCCTTGAACTCACAGTGACCCTCCTGCCTCAGCTTCTGTGATTACAGGTGTGTGCCACCATGCCCCATCTGTCTTCTAAAATAGGGGTTGGCAACCTTTTTCTGATGAGGATCAGACAGTAAGGACATTTTAGGCTTTGTAGGTCACACACATCCTGCTGCCAATATTCAAAAGTAGTCACTGATAACACAAAAGCAGACCGTGTAGCCATGTTCCCATAAAAATTAGTTTATGGACACTGATACTGAGTTATTACAGTTTTCACATGTCATGAAGTATCTATCTTGATTCCTTTCTCAACCATTTAAAAATGGAAAAACATTCCTAGTTTGCAGGCTAAATAAAAACACAGGAGGCCAGGTGTGGCCCACACACTATACTTTGCCAGCTCTTGCTCCAAATATGTGCAGTACTTTGAAAGAACAGTCCCCTCAGAGGATCAAATCCCTGTTCCCCAGTGGTTTAAAATAATTATCCAACACTTCATCAGTCACTTCTTTTAGATGAGCTGGTTTCCACCTTGGACTCTGGTCTTTATCAATCAAAACTGTCAAAAAGAAGACACAGATGTCAGAAGATCAGCCGTGGGGCGGTGGCCCTATCAGCCTATTGCTGCTGCATTGACAGAAACTGTCTTGTATAGGTGCATTTTCTGTAGCACATCTTTCCTGCAAAGTTTAAGTTTTTGTGCATGTTCTATTTTTCTTCCAAATCCAACCCTCAATCCGAATAGACAATATATTTTTGTTATGCAGTGCAGGTATTTTCTCCTAACCTTCATGGCTCCAGCTTTAGTAAAGCCTACTGAATTAACCCGGTGGTTTAAACATTCTTTATTCCTGCTTCAAAAAAACTGTAAATAAATACTCCATGCTGCAACACAGCTAACACCAGTGTTTGTGTGGCTTAAAGGGAAGGAAAGGGTGCAGCTCTGCCACCTCCTCCACATTTGGGTTTGGGAACAAAACTAATCACGAGGGGTGGAGGGAAACACTTCTGTTAAACATGGAGATGGCGGCTGCACTGCGAATGCTTGAGTTCAGACAGCTCTAAATTTAAAAACCGGACCACAGTCAGGTTACCCTGAAACCTCCTGCTTCTCCTATTTCCGGGCGGTCATCACTTAGTGTACCACATAATATCCCCACAGGACTGGGAGCAAGAAGTGGTGAAGTATAAAAACAGCACTCCTAGTCCCGGTCCTGACAGTGTGCTATAGTGACACAAACTCTACTGGGGAAACTGGGCGGATCTCGGTATCATCTCACAGCTGTGCGTGAGTCCACGGTTATCCTTGGAAAGCACAGCTGTGGTAGCAGATCTCAGTCATGCGTAAGCGTGCAGAGGTCCACAGAAGACAGGGACATTCAAAGATGCAGATCACTGAGAACTGGAAAAACCCAGCCGAAGTGTTAAGAAGCCAAATGGTCAAGCCTTCCTTGTTAGGCAGCAAGAGGAAAGCTTTCCACATAATTAAATGTGAAGACTGGAGGGTGGTTTTATCTCAAACTTGTGGACTCAGGAGTCATCCTGCCTCATCCTCTCCAGTAAGTGGGACTAAGGCATCTCCGTGCCTGGCTCAGTGCCGGAGGTTCCCCAGGTCTGGCTATGTGCTATGGGGTTCTGGGGTGACTGAACAGTGATACTAACCACTGACCTTCCCATCCCTACCAGCCTGAGCTGTGTGTTCCCTGGCGGCACAGACAGCCCCTGGGGGATGCGTCTGCCAGGAGAATTCCTTCTGCTTGAAGTCTGGCCAAGCCTGTCTACCTCCTTGAGGTTCCACCGAAGGACAAAGACTACTCATCGAATCTGGGTGTTGTTTTATTTCAAGCTAACAAACACTTCTGCCTGGAGCAGTCATACACTCTGGGGGCCACCTCAGGAGGACTCCCCAGACACCGAACCCCACTCGGAGCGACTTGTGCTGGAAAGAACATCGAGCTTTGCTTCCTAAGCAGAATGCTAAGAATTTAACAACTGTTTCCCTAGTTTGCTGACTTACAGTCACTAAACAGCTGCATGAACACTAGTTTTACAAGTCATAAACGTTCTTTCTGAAGAGGAGGGAAACTATTGTCTCTCCGTGTTGCTGGTAAGCACTTCTTTCTGCTTGATTTCATCTTTTTTCCTTAAAATATCTAAAACCAGAAGCCTCCTTTGAAGGAGCACTGTCCGAACAGTGAGCACACAAGCAACACAGACTGAGCACTGTGGCTCGCTCACCCCCCTGAGACCAGAGGGCTCGCCCATCCTTTAAGACGGGGACCTTTAAAGGACCCCGAGGCAGGTTCTTTAATTGGTTTCTGCAAAACATAACTGCCTTGGCCCCACGTATCTTCCAAAGCCTTGGACCCCAGTGCTTATCCCTAGTCTCATCACGCCAGAAATTAGGAGAGCTCTGTGGCAGGGGTTGGTATTCAGCAAAGCTTAGATGCCAAGATCGACCTTTTCATTCAGGTAAAGGCTACCCAGGGCTGGGACAGCGCAGGACAGAGCACTCGCCTGGCCTGTGTGAGGCCCTGGATTCAGTCCCCAGCACCGCAGAAAAGTAAGTAGTTGCAGGGAAAAAATATCAATGACTTCATCTCCTTTTTAAAAATACGCTGGCCTTGGAGGTGACAAGCAAAGGTGGAGAGAGTGACAACATGGTTTGTGTTTTTCCGCAGCACTAAAGGGGAGGCGGGAAGGGACCTAAGGGCTGTGCGCAGGAAGGCCTCAGAAGCAGGTAGTTCCCAAGCTCCCGAGGCATCACCTGACCTGAGCAGGACTGTCTCGGACCTGTAAGTACAGGAGGGGGTAGGGGCCAAGTTCGATGAACTTTTAACATATTCGTTTCAAAAACTGACTTCCTTTACACTCCAGATGACTGTACTTTATTTTTGTGGTGCTGGGAACTAAACCCGGGGTCTTACACATCCAAGGCCAGTGCTCTACCACTGAGCTACCCTCCCATCCATTTTTAAAGTTCTTTTGCAGCGGGATCTTGTTAAATTGCCTAGGCTAGGCTCGAACTTGTGACCCTCCTGCGTTGGCCTCCTGAGTAGCTAGAACTGTACCACCACACCAGGCTGCAGGTGCTTGCAGTTTAGCACGCAACTCTGCAGCCTTCACGGAAGCTGAGTTTTCATGACTAAATCTGATGCAAATCCTGCTTCCTGGGGGACCCGTCAGGAAACACAGCTCCGTGTCACTTACCAGCTCTGACACCTTCATGGAAGTCATGATCACCCTGCAAGAAGGTCAAGAGCAAACAGGGTGATTTCCAGCACCCACATCCCTGGCGAGGTCCTCTTCCGCCCTTCAGCCCTGCACTGGAGACCACAGCCCTGAGCCCTCCCCTCTCCCCGCACCGTCCTCGCTCCCCAGGGCTTCGCTCCCTGCACCAGCATTTAACAGATGCAGCCACTGCTACCTCCTCCCAGCAGTGACTCTAAGACATGGCCAAGGACTATACTGCTAATTAGATGGACTTTTAGTATCTTGATAACTATTTCAGGACGCAGGAGTCCATTAGGAATGTCTGCTTTCTGGTTACCAAGCCATATATTCCCTTTGGGCTGAGAGTTGATGAATCTAAATAATACCACTTCTGAAGGGTTCTCTGAACATAAGAAATGATTCTGCCTCTAGAAAGCTTAACATCTGGAAACAAGAAACCCAGGATACTAGAATTTTTCATGACATAGACATTCCTTGTGATTGCTAATTATACTTCTGATGGTACTTGCAATAGTAACCTGTCAATTATAAGACGTGGAATACACTAGTAACGCCCCTTTGTGCATTAGATACCTCTGTCTGTTTTTACACAATGTGTCTAATTTTACCAACACAGAAATTTTGATTTCCGGCATTTACACTTCTTGCCCCAGGTCAGAAACTGTGCTTGAGACATGGTTACTTTCTATCTTGAACTCCACAGGAGGCTGGAGGCCCTCTGATGTTTACCTACAGTGTAACTGTTACTTCCTGAAGGTTTCACAGCAATCTGGGCGGGAGTATTTCAACACACCAAAAGTTAACTGGCATGTTTGTTTTTATTTACAAATAGTTTAATTTTTTTGTTTATCCTTTTCCATATTTTACATGTTCTACAATAAACATGCATTACTTTCCTAACTACAAAGTGACGATACTTTTAATAATTCAAATTCTTACCATACACATCTGACTCAGCCGATACTCCATGGTGAACACCTCCTGCAAGGTCTTCGAGGCCCCCTCCGTGAGTTGCCTGAGTGTGATCTTTAAGGATGTTGGAGACATTTTCTTAATTACCTTTGGGGAAAAAAAATACTAGTTATAGCTCAATAGCTGCATTATTTATAATAAACTACCCGAATTTCTACTTTGTCACAAGCTAGAGCCCTAAGAATTGCCTTCATATGCCAGAATCTCACAAAAGAGCTTTTATCCTAATCCTGCCAAAGCACCAAACAAACTTTTTCTAAAGTGTTGCAAACAAATTCTGTACCTACTTTACATATCTATGCTTGAAGTTTGCCTAGCATAAAATCAGCATCCCAACGAGCTAAGAACTGAAATACACTCATCAAAAGCCACCACTGTCCACAGGGAAACTATCGTACATTGTGCTCGTGGGCAGGGAAGGACGCTCCCAAGTGACAGCTGGGCAGCGATGCTGGACGTGTGCGCGGCCTGGCTGCGGTCCTGGCACTGAAACGCACTTGCTACAACTCCACAGCAAACCAAAGCATACACGGGCAGAAGGCCTGCGCTGGTGTTTCCCCGAAGACAACACACAAATGGCTAACAAAGGTATAAAAAGATGCTCAAAATCGTTAATTATTAGGGAAATTCAGGTCAGAGCTACCCTGAGCTATGGCCTCATGACCTTCAGGAGGGCTCCTGTCAAGAAAACACAAGCAGCACGTGCCGGAGCCCTTCCTCTCTCGGTGGGAACTCAAGGCAGAGCAGCCTCAGCAGAAACACTAGGCTGGGCCCTGGGAAATGAAACACAGAACCGCCACACCCCCGTGGCAGTTGCGCGAGTGGGGGTGTGGAGACCCCGAGGTCTGCAGACAGAAGTGCTCGACACGCCTTTGAACAAGCCACAAAGAACTGCCATGAACCTCGCAGTTACACTTTGATTTTTGGTGCACTGTAGTTCTCGTAATCGAGGGGCCCTGTAAGCTCTGCCAAGGAAGACTCAGTCCTCTGACCCCCACATGGTGGTCTTTCCAGCAGATCCTGATATCTTGGAGCCACATTCATTCCCCAGAGCTGCAGAAATATTCTTGGGGTTCGCTGTGTCAGCAGCACACAGCCCGGGGCCCCTCACAGCAGCTCCCTGTTCCTGCCCTAGGACCTCTCACACCCAGGAGCCGTTCCAGTACCTGCAGCTGCTCCAAGGCAAAAGGTGAACCATCTCGCTGTAAGTTTTCAATGATCCCCTCCACGGTACTGGCGGAAAAGCACCTAGAGAGAAGCAAACACTTGATCTCGCCAATGTGCAAATAATATCCCATTTCTAAAATATGAGCAGAGCTGAACACAGGTTTCGCCGGCCCCATGTCAACAATGAACAATTTTCCAACTTTATTTTACAGAGTAATGAAACAAACCATTACTTTCCCAGGTAAGGATGTTAGAGTCTGTAATCAATGCAAAATAAATCCTAGATCTTTTTATTTGCTTTCTTTCATGGAAAGTGCTAAAATATAAATATTTTAACTATGGGAAAACATGCTTCTAAAGGGAAGAGACCATGTATCACTGTCTAACACCTCCTCCTCTTCTTTCCTTAGGCTGCTCTGTCAATTTCTGAAGTCACTGCAGACATTCACCTTCAGAGATGACTTTGCAAAGATAAAAGATAATTTAATTATTTTCTAGCCTCTCTTCCCACTTTAAAAAAAGACACATTGTGCATTAAAAGAATCAGCACGGAAGATTACTAAGCATAAATTACTTTCAAAGTTAAGTGAAAATAAAAGCACTGACCTACCTCATCTCAGAATCTGAGGTATTACCAAGCACAATAGAATTACAATTTTGGTAAATTCAATTTAATATAGTCTTTCCAAAGGAAGAGATCCAATTGAGATCTCTTGTAAAGTACCTGTTTATTTTGTCCATGTGTTCTTCCAGTATAAAAGGTTTGTCTTGCTCAATCTTGGACTGTTTGAAAAGAAATAATTTGAAGTAACTCAAATCTTTTTAAAATTCTTAAAACTCCACATTTAATGATATACTTCGTGATAGATTATCACTTTCACTCCAATTACATCTGACAAGCTCATAAATAACTCCTGCCATATGCTCAAGATTCAGACAGTTCGTAGTACTCTAGGCAAGCTCTTCAGTGTCAAAGGCAAAAAGGGTTCATGTATTTTTATTTATATCACTATGATCTAAGTGCACCAATGAATCTAGGGGGCCTGAGCGCTCATCCTGCCAGATTTCCATCCAGCCGAGAAATTCCCAGCACTCTCCTGGGATCCCAGCTGCAGCCAGAGAAAGGAGCTCGGCCACTCGGGTCATGGCCCTTGCTGTGCGGCCCTCAAGTTTGTATTTCTAGCTCATCTGTGCATTTTCACCATCCAGGCATTCCTGTGACCACAACCCAGTCGCCAAGGTCATGCATAGAGTGAGGACTGTGCCCTGCAGCTGCAGGTGGGGCTGGACCGTACCCAGGTGTGACAGAGGTGGCAGGGCTCTCAGCCGCAGCCTTGCAAACAGGACTAATCTGCTGGGCCCCTTCCACAGCTCCCTTACTCCCAGCTCCCAGCTGTGAGACTTGAAAAGCAAAGCTGTGTGACAGGCTGCCCCGCCCATCTCCTATCAAGGCTTCGTCCTGCGCTGAGGACCCTGGATGAGCCTCACCCGTCTTCAGCACGGTTCACAAGTACAGCTCGTTGCTTTCACCCTCTCCTTTTCTTATTCTCTTGGTTTTAAATCAGTTTGATCAAAATGCTGTCAAGAGACTCATCCAAATCACCAAGGAAATCAAGAAGGCCCAAATGACCTCCTTGACCAGGACTTACACGCAGAGTGGAGCCCCCGGGAGGCCACTTCGGCCCCACACGGGTGGGGTCAGCGCTGGGCAGCCTGGATGCAGCCCCCGCCCCGCCTTCACTCTCCCACCAAGGACTCCAGAGGCCCTGGCCGCGTGTTGAGCTGTCCTGTTCCGGGTAATGTTTTTGTGCTATTTTTCTGAATATTCCTTTATCTCACTTCTCTATACTGAATACCTTGGCTCATGAACTTAATCCTTTTCACATTTCTGGTCAAAAACCGAATTGGATGAGAACCAAACCAAATTCCCCAAAAGCTCAGCCCTGGACTAACCACGGGGTTTGACTCATTCCTCATCCAGTTGGTTTGTGACCCGAATGTGGGAAGAAGGAATTAAGGGCATGTCCTGTTCTCCACGAGGCAGCTTATCTTTTCCCCTTTTGCTCAGTGTCCCTCCTGAACTGTCAGTGCTAATCAATCTGTGGGGCTCTGCCCATCTGTGCCACCTAATCTAAATTTCTTCTCATTAGAACACGCTGTCCCTTCGGTGACACCCCCCTCACTGAAGAGAACAGTAACGAGGTTTCGGATGTGTTTGCTTTCCTTGCCCCTGCACCACCTGTCATTCTGTATAACGTCAACTCACAGAACTATCAATTACACGATGATCCGAAGATCATCCATCAAGTATCGATGTGGAATCAGGGGAGCAGCACTGCCAGCAGCTGAGGGTTTCTTTCTTCTTCTTCTGTTTTAGCTTGGGCATCGGGTGGCCCATTGGCGCTGCAAGTCCACAGGCCCGAGGGTGGCAGGCCTTCCTGCTGAGTACCCCCTCCTCCGGACGGCACTGCACCCTCTGCCCCAGCCTGCTGGCTTCGGTAAAAGTCAGTTTCTACTCTGCCGCTGGGCTCGGAGAAGACGGCCGCTCTTGGCTGTATAAGATGAGGACTCTGGGACTGTGACTGCTCCTTATAAAAACTTATTAAAACCCTGGTTTTCTGCACTAATCTACTTTCCAGGCTTCCTCCTTTGGGCAGTGCCAGGGATCAAAGTTGGGGCTCGAGTGTGCTAGGCCAGCGCTCCATCGCTAAGTCACCCCCAGTCCCGGGTGCCAGTGTCCAGGGACACCCGGCTCCTTTCAGAGGGTCCCGAGCCAGAGCCCGCCAGCTGCCCTCCCTGAGGGTGGAGCTCAGCCTGCTCAGACCTAGCAGCCACCCCAATCCCCCACTTCCACCTTCCCAAAGTACAGACATCTCACACCTGCCGCGTCTGCTCTTCTGTTCTGTCTGACTTTGGGAGTTTATGCCTCATTTTATTCCCCTATTACAATTTTAGTGGAGTTTCATGAAGAAGCATGAATTCATGATCATTATGCGTAACTAAATTTTATGTAGTGTTTTTACTGAATCTTGGCTTTTATAGGAAAATCTAAGTTAATACACTGCTGTATTCTGTTGGTAGAGGTAACCTTGCAGCACGAAAGCCGCTGCAAGGTGAAAGCTCCCCAGGGGCCGCGCCCATGCCTGCTCCAAGCTCAGCGGGCGATGACTCAAGGCCCTTCTTCCCCTGGGGCGGAACATGGCAGGGTTACCTCTGCATGGTAGGATGCCAGGACTTCGGCGATGCTTTCTTTGGACGGAGCCTTCAGGGCTAACAAATCTTCCTCTAACATGGGCAGCTGAAGGAACAGGAGGAGGAGACATCAGAAGCCCCGCAGAAACAAGAACGCTTCCAAAGCAGCTTTGTTTTTCTTTTTGGTAGCAGGAGTGGAACTCATGACCTCACTTGACAGTCAGGTGCTCTATCCCCGCCCTGCCAAATAATCCTACTCCTTTCTAGAACCCTGGTCTCAAATGCTGGTACTTTCTCTCCAGCTGAGCCCGAGGGAAATGTGATAAGGACAAAACACACTCAGGCCTGCACGGCAGACGCTGCCTCAGGTAGAATGGACAGAAGGAACCAAGGAGCACCCCAAATCTGAGTCCAGAGCCTTCTGATCCCCACCATTTCAGACAAAAGATACGGACCCAGTACTGCAGCCCAAAGTCTGATTTATGAATATTGGTTCACAGTGGACACTTGGTTCATGACACTTTTGGCAAAATTTTGTTTGATTGCAAACTCTGCATGAGGTGACAAACAGGACTGCCACCATCTATCCAGAACCATGGAACCAATTAAGTTCGTGAACCGAGGCACCACTACCACCGTGCATTTTAAGTAAGATCACCACACAGTGTGTAGAGGTGCGCACACAGCTCTGTGATGACAGCCCCACTCCCCCTCCAGCTAAGCCCCGCCGCCCGGCCACAGCCGAGGGATGTTTTGTTGCTTCCCTGTCCCTGCAGTGCATCTGTTCGGCTTGGAGAAACTTTCTGAACAACACTCACCTTAATGCCAGCCATTCTGCACCCCTGAGAAAAAAAGTGTCAGCCCTCTCTTACAAGAAGCTCTTCCTCCTTTTGTGCTGAGGACTTTCTTTGCACATATGCTGTTTCTACACTTATCACACTGCGCTCTGCCAGATGAGACAGATGGTGACTGTCTTAGCTACTTTTCTCTCATTGCTGAGACACAATGCCCGACACCCAAGGGGAAGGAGGAAGGGTTATTTAGCTCACAGTTTGCAGAGGTTTTGGCTTATAATCAGCTGACTCTAATGTGGGGCGGCACATGGCAGAGGAGAAACTGCTCATGAGGCAGAAGATACTAAAGTAACAAGAACATCCTACCCAGACTGCTGGGTTTGGGGCGGTGCCGATCCAGTCAGTGGACTGACCCAGAAATCACTCACCCCATCCACACACCCTTAAACCCAGCATTAAGCCATGAGCCAATCACATGCTCTAGATTCGGCTACCTGAATGTCCCATCAGAAAGGCTTCCAGACACGACTCTAACAGTGATTTCCTCTGCCCGCCTCTGATCCATCCCGTCTGCCCTGCTCACTTTAATGCCTGCTCTCGGCCCCGTGAAGGGCAGGTTACTGCTGCAGACGCTACTGGCGAGGTGGGCTGATGAACCCGGCAAAGGAGCATGCGTCCCCTTTTCCTCCTTCCTGACCAAATTCCACTGTGACCAAGCGTGGCCCTGCTGGACGGGCAGTGGAGAGCCCGTGCTGGCTTCCCGGTCAGCTCTGGGGAAAGAGGAGCTGGTAAATCCACATATTATTACTTCTGCTTTACTTGAGGAAACTGAGAATCTGGAAGCTTAGGCACAATTCCCGGGCCATTCAACTAGACAGAGGCAACAGGTCAGGGTTCGTACCCAGATCCACCACAAACCTGGGATCTTAACCACTCTGCTGCCTCCACACTCACTTACCTTCCCAGAATCCACGAAGTGCGTGGCAATCCCCGCTCTGTACACATCTCTTCCTTTTAGTCTGAAGCCTGTCAGTCCAAGGAAGTAGCCCAGTCTTCCTTGAAGTCTCGGCAAGAAATAACCTCCACCCACATCAGGGAACAGCCCTGTAATTAAGTACAGAAGCTTCCACAGTGACTCAAATGGGAGAGAAGCTGACCTCTTCACTGTGGGGCGCCTGCCCGTGTCCCTGGAGGGAGCGATCTACACTACATTATTACTAAGCGCAGTGCACTGCAATCAGTGTCAGAGAAGCGTGCCCTGCAGTGTACCGACTTAATTGGGGCATTTTTCAAAATCTTCATGTGTCGTTTCTGAAAGGTTTGGCCCAGACAGGACACTGTAGCCAGGAAAGCCACAACCGGAAGCAGGAAGCCCCATCTTGCCCTGCCCCTAGGAAGTTACCTGTGACGCCATCTTCCCGCCCCTGGGAATTTACATATGGCGCCAAACCTAGGACCAATGGGCTACCTGTGTATCCCTAATGCCCACCTTAGGTTCCACCCCAAACCGAGGCTATTTACAGGCCCCCAGCCGCGTGTCCGCCGGAGAGATCGCCGGACGCCAGCGGTGGGGGTTGCCGGTCATCTCTCTCCGTGTTCTCAGAATAAAGGCCGCTTTTTATTTTATATTTCTCATCTTTTGTTAATATTTTTCATCTTTTGGAAATAACTCTATCAGTTTCTACAGAAGCCGCTAAAGCAACGGCGCAGTGTTTTATATGTTTTATACTTGTATGTTACTTGATGATGCTACCTAAATGTTCCTGCTGCTGGCTTACCTTAGGAGTTGCTGACATAAAAACTGACAAAATATTTTCCTTCCAAACGACAAACAAGGCAAAAATCATACATAATCTAAGATAACTGTGGCAAAATTCATCAATTCCATTTAACACTCTCTCAAACTTAATCATCTATTGTTTTAGGAAACTAAAGATTGGACCACTAGTCCTAGTCAATGACTTGCACTTAATCTTTTCTTAACCCTCAGGATTTTCAAAATTATTCTACTGGCAACTACTGAAAATAGCACACATATGTGTAACTCCAGTGTACGATTTTTTGGTTTTCAGAGCTCCTTCAGCCATTGTGATCCCGGTTGATAAATTGTGCAGCTATTCTAAGGATGTCTGAATTAATTCAGTTGAGATAACCACATATGCCTTCAAATTATTTCCAGTTCTGCTTGACAGAAAGTTCCTGCATCTAAAGGAATAAGCAGCTGTCAGGAGATAAGCAGCTGGGTCTGAAGCGGCCCTCCCGACCTCCCCTGCCCTGTGGTCCCCGGCCTCATGGAAGGAGCCAGTGCCCAGCTGCCCCCGGGCTAGTGCCAGTCCCTCACCCCCAGCAGCCACCACACCGCCCGGGTCTCCTCAGGTCCCTCCATGGCTGCCTGCCTCTTTCGGATTAAAACAATCGCTTTCCCCAAGTCTTCTTGGCCCTTTCCCAGCATCTCTTACTATTCACTTGCCAAACTCCAGCCATCTGCTCTTCCCTGCCCGACCCTCTCCTCTCCTTCCACTGCGAAGTCTCAGTGACACCCTGCCCGCCCGCCCACCTGCCACTGCGATCACCATCACCACGGCCACAGCCTCCGCCAGCGCCATCGCCATCGCCATCGCCATCACCATGGCTGCCTCCTTCCGTTCTCCCTCACCAGCACCGAGCACTGCAGAGCCTCGGCCTGACCTCAGGCTCTCGTCTCTTTCTTCTGTACACATTTCCCTTGGTTCCCATGGCTTTAATAATATCTCTCCGTGATTACTCCCTGTTACAGACTGAACAGCTCACCTCAAAACACAATGCTGCAGCCCTAACCTACAGTGTGACCGTATCTGGAGACAGGAAATCAAGGCTACGGGAAGCCACAAGGGAGGCACCCTAATGCAACCCCGCTCGTGTCCTTGGAAGAGATAGCAGGACACATGCGCCCAGAGAAAGGCCATGTGAGGACATGGCAGGACAGGGGACAGGGAGATACCTCTGGGGACACCTCGCCCTGGGGGCCTCAGCCTTCAGAACTGTGAGAGCTAAGCCACACAGTCTAGAGGACTTTGTTAGGACAGCCCCATGTAGACGAACAGGCTCCCAGAGCCAGGTGCAGGTTTATCCTTGAATCCCCAACTTTAGACCTGCCTTCTCCCTATAACCACAAGGATAATAAGTGTCTCCCAAAGAACAGGGCAGGAACAGAACCCGATTCTCATCCCTCCAACCACAGACTCTTTCCCCGATCAGCTCTGTCCACTCAGAAGCACACACTAAATATCTTGGATTTACCCTCAGTTCACCACATCAGCAAGAGTTAACCCCAAACACTCCACATTGACTCATTCTGTCCAACTCTCTGCGTCCACACTAGCCCACCCCAAAGCGTATTCTCTCTAGAGGAGTTCTCTCTAGAATGGACGTGAGGGTGGAAATGAGCCCTCCTGTGCTGTCAGTAGAAATGCAAATTAACGTAACTATTATGGAAATCAGTGTGGAGATTTCTCAAAAGATTGAAATTAGAAATTCCCCCTTCTAGGTATCTTTTTCAAAGAGCTTAAAACATCATACTACAGTAATACATGCATACCCATGTTTACAGCCACACAATTTATAGTAGCTAAGTCATAGAAGTGGCCTGTATACCCATCAACGGACAACTGGATAAGGAAAATGTGGTCTGTAGTACAACAGAATCCTACTTTGGAAGGACCAACTTGAGGCATCTATAGCAAAGTGGATACATTTGGAAAATACGTGGAGTGACATAAACCAGACACACAGCTTAAATACCGTGTGGCACCTCTCATTTGAGTTAGGTCAAGTACAAAGTCATCACTAGAGGATGGGTCAATGGACTGAAGGAGAAAGGGGAAGCATCTCCTGCAGATGGCAAGCGGTTCAGGAGACCACAGGCAAGGGGGCCAGGGCACACAAGGGAAAATAAGTAGAATAAAGCTCTGCCAGGTATAGGAACCTGCTAACACCAATGAATGCGAACACTGCACACTCATAAAATTATTAATATTAATAATACTGATAAAAATGAAAATGGGGAGGGGAATTAGATGAGGGAGGAAGGGAGAGGTGGGAAAGGGATTTAAAAGCAGGAAGCAAGCTGTATTATTGCACATACCCTGTGATGACTGTGAAATGCATGTATGTGCTGGAAACACATACTAATAAAAAAAACCTACAATGTTATATAGTCCCTGATTCATTCAATAACAGTACAACGGAAATGTATTAAAGAAAGATGATTCTAAAAATACAAAGAATTACCTATTGCTGTTTCTGGCATTGCAAAAAGAGACTTTTCAGTCGCCACTCGGAATAGTCCATGAACTGAGACACCAACTCCCTAAGGAAATGAGGGAAACATTACGGTTTTAAAATACTGCAAAATTTAAAAGCATAAACATATAACTATTGTAGAGCAGTTAAGTAACCTTACCCACCAGAAGAGATACATGGCAGCTAAACAGAAAGGTTTTCATTTCTGATTCATTTTTCATGGAAATTTCAACTTTGTCAAACGTTTTCACATACAGTTGCTTAAAACTTTTGAACATTTCATGAATACTTAGAAACATATACAATCTATTACAAACTTATATACTGTGTGCTAAACTTAAAATTTAATAGTTCATAAACTTAGAAATCAGTAAGACCCTACCTACATCCTCTGCTGTAAACACGTACAAATTATATCCGTAACAGTACACCCACCCTGTGCAGGCGAACAGATTCATATTACAGGTATTGTATTAGGACAATGTCAATTGACAATATTAACCCAAATTAGGTTGTATATACCACACTGAAATATTACAACTCTCATTAAAATAGCATAGCAAAATATCAATAGTTTCCTGTATTTTATAATCCCTACTCTTTACTGATAGTTTATCACATCATAACTGAAAGTTTTTAACTGTTCGGAAACATGTCATAAGAACTTTAAAAGAAAGGGTTCAACAGTGAGTTTGTCCTGAGCCCCGGGAGGTGGCAGAGCCATCCCCCCTGCCTGGTCACTGCCCTTCTCTTTTGGTTAACTCCGAATTCCAGAAGCAGCCCTGACTGCTCTCCTCATTAACATGCACACAGAAAGGTGACGTCTGCCCACAACTCTATTCGGGGGCAGCCATGTGAAAAAGCTGCTTCAGCCCAGAGAACACCGAGCCCTAAGACCATCTGAACAGTGAGCTGCTAGGACAACAGGGTGTCACGTGACATTAAGTTGCTAAATGTATGAACAAACAGCCCTGCTGCACGGGGCGGTTCCTTTCCTCCCATCTTGAGAGTGAGGGCTCTACCTGACCCCAGCTTTCAACTCTTCTTTCTCATCCTCCAACCACCTTATCCCCCCAAAACACCTGGAGCTTTGCAGATCGGATCACATGGGCGACTGAACAGGGACTCCTGGGTAGGAAGATATAGTGGGCCAGGGGACACTCTCATTTCTGCGCAGCTAGGGGAGAAGTGCACTGGTAGCCATCAATACTGATCACTGGAGTGAACTGATATTGATGTTGACATCATCAAGTGGGCATTGGGGCATTGAAAAATAGGCTCTCTAGGGCCTAAAACCAGTTCATGAGAGCCAGAGAGAGAAACAGGCTCAGGAGAAGCCAAAGACAGAGAAACAGGCTTGGGAAAAGCCAACGAGAGCTGCCTGAGTTGGGGCTTTAGTCCTAGGACTATAAATGCGAGCCCTCGTTGAAGAAAGATGTAGAACCTCACAGCAACATCTCTGCCAGGGAGAACCTGTGGCCGACTTCTAATTTTTCTGTCCTATCTCAAAGGACAGGCTACTTGCAGTTCCCTTAAACTTACACTATTTTATCTGATGCCATCTTTCAAGTGCACTTTGGCCGTCTACATTCATTCCCCAGGTGACCCCAGGCCCAGGACTTGAAGCACTACCCTTAACACTAGTATTAAATTATCCTCCCACCTCCAATCTCTCTAGACTCAGCTATTAAACATCTGACATTCTCTTCGCCTTCTGAGGGTGAGCAGCACCAGCTGGAGCTGAGCGTAAAGTCTCCCGGGTTTTCAGGTGCTCCCTTCAGAAGCTTCTCGTGACATATGACACCTGCACTATGCAGATTTGCACACTTCTCTCTTTCAGCCAAGGGCTGTCAGCTCCGACCCTGTGGGGCGTGAGAAGTGTTCCTTTTTGTCCCTTGCACTGTCCTTCTAGGCTTAGTTAATTCACATCAGTCTCCATGCAGCTACATTTCTGCCATGAAGATCCCTGCTGGCCCCGCGCTTCCTCCAAGGCTTCTGTTATGCTCCGGGCTGAGCCGTTTTCCACTTGTACTGTAATTTATGTTTTCTTTAACTCACTATCAAGTTCTGCAAGGCCTGTTACATTTTAAACTTATTTATAGTAGCACAGAGGTAAGACACATGAAGGATCTCAAGCACTCCCACTAAGTGGGTGTAACGCAGCCCACCACCGCTCACTGTGGAGCCCAAGAAAGAGCCTAAATATCTGAGTTTCTCTCCCAGAGCTACTGGAAGAAAGCAGTTAATTTGTAAATAGATAAAAGTCTATATAAACAAAAACTACACTCAGCCTCTATGGCTTAAGAAAGCTTGCTAATTTCAAAGTTAAAACAGCATCTAGCATAATTAAGAACATATAATGTTCTTTGGGTTGAGAGTCTCAAAGCGCCAGAATAAAAAACAAATCCAGCAGCAGGACACAAAATGCAGTCCACACACGATTAAGCTTCAGTGCGTTCTACCGCATTACATTCATCATCTCACTTCATTTACTAATTACTAACTTACCCTCAATACAGCTCATTTATATCAGCGAAGAGTGAAAAGTCTACTCACCCCACCCATTGTGATTCCGTCAATAAGAGCAACATACGGTTTCCGGCACAAAGCTAAAAGAAGAGAACCGCAATTACAGTTGCACTGTTTATAAATATGCACATTTTCTAAAAATCACGTTACACGGGCTGCTTTTCCTAGGAAACTTTTCTAAGAAATATCAAAGAGCACCGTTATATGACTCATGAAATACTTAAGCTTTTAAATACTGTCCCATATATAATACTAATTATTCATTATTGTTTAATAATTCAACTTTTAATTTGAAATAAATCTAAGTCTCACATAATTCTAGGGACATACTAACTCTGCTGCCAACATTTATGTACACAGTTATATGTACATATAAAGAGCACATTTGGTTTCTCTAAAACAAAGGCTCTGGGTGCAAACAGCAAAATACACGAAAAAACAGGGCTGGGGCTTTAGTTCAGCAGCACAATCGCCTGCCTGGCAAAGGCAAGGTCATGGCTTTGATCCTTGGTACTGACAGAACTGTGGAGGACGGGAGGCAGCAGCTGAAAAGATAAGAAGTTTGAAATATAAACGACCTTTATTTTGAGAATGCGGGGAGGGACACCCCATCCCCTGGGGCGCGCCATCTCCACCCCAGGGTCCGCGATCTCTCTGTGGAACACGTGGAGTGAGGCACATAAGTAGCCTCAGTTTGGGGTGGAACCTAAGGGGCATTAGGGATGCACAGCTAGCCCCTTGGTCTTTGTTTGGCGCCAGAGGTAAATTCCTAGGGGTGGGAGAGATAGAGCCCCTTGGCTTTACCGGCTATAGTGTCCTGTCTGGCCAGAACCCTTTCAGGAAAGAAGAAAGACAGAAAGACAGAAAGACAGAAAGACAGAAAGACAGAAAGAAAGAAAGAAAGAAAGACAGACAGACAGACAGACAGAAAGACAGAAAGAAAGAAAGACAGAAAGACAGAAAGAAAGAAAGAAAGAAAGACAGACAGAAAGACAGAAAGAAAGAAAGAAAGAAAGAAAGACAGAAAGACAGAAAGACAGAAAGAAAGACAGACAGACAGACAGAAAGAAAGAAAGAAAGACAGAAAGAAAGACAGAAAGACACAAAGAAAGACAGAAAGAAAGAAAGAGAGAGAGAGAGAGAGAGAGAGGATTACAGAAAAACTAATTCTAAATGTATGTCCAATTTCAGAGTCAACCACGGGAAATCTCCTGGTGCCAGAAACACATAGGAAACCAGTCTGTACCTGAATGGAATCTGCAATCAAAGATTAGAAACCTCCTTCTCAGCTAACTGCATAAAGCCTCAAGTTAGCAGGAGCGACTCCATTTACAAAACAAGACTAGAAAAACTGCATCTACCGGAGCAGGACGCTGCCTGGGAAACAGACAGTCTGAGAAACTGGATCTTCAAGCACTAGGTAAACATCATTATTAAAACTGAAACAAAGAAAACACCCTTAACAAAGCTGGAACACAGATAATGTCCTTAATTTGGTATAGAGGATTGATACAAATCTCCCTCACAAAGAGATTTATACCAAACTGTGAACTTGTAAAACTTTTCTGAATGACACCTTGTAATGCCAAGTTCAATCTTGTAACTGAGGCTCTAGCTAAAGTATAATAAGAAAACTCATAAATAGAGGGATTGGAAAGGCATGGAAAAAATTACATGGCAATGATAGAACTGCCTATGCAGAAAAGCCAAGAACCCCCACGGAAATACCACTAGGATTAACAACCAGTTTCAGCAAGGTTGCTAATGTGGCAAGCAGCTGAAGCTGGAGATGGAGGCGGCCCAGTTCTGAGAACAAAGAACACCTGACGGGAGCCAGGTGAAGAAGCTGCTCCAGCTGGGAGAGCTGAAGCACCCAGAGGCAGCCATGCTAACCGCTAGGCAGAGGGGAGTCACGTGACGGCAACCTGCTGAGGATCTAAATAAGCACACTGCAGCTACTGAGCACCCTTCTCCCGCTCCACCTGACCTCTGCCTCCTGTATTCTGACCTATATTTCTCCATCCTCCCACTGTCCTTCACCCCAGGAACTTCAAGAGCTGCACTGGACATGGCCTGCTGGGTATAACATATTGAAGGCATTAAGGAAAAAAAATCACAAAATGAGCCATAATTTTAAAACTGCCATTATATTTCCTTCAAATTTTACAACATCAAGCCAAAACAAATCAAATTATCTGTTTCCCTAGACCAGTGGATACACAGTAATTTAATTTTTGAAAGCATAATTGATAAAATATTGCTTTGCTTCCACTAAAACCTAATCCTTACTATAAAGAAAACTTGACCCGAGAGTTTCTCAAAAATTAAGAAATGGTATTTTATTGTACACAGGAATCAGAAACCCAACTTCTCTGTTAACCAGGAAAGCTAACTCACTCATCAGGAATCCATACTCTCATAGATTTTACAAGAAACATTAGGTATAGCCTAAAAATATTAAAGCGTAATTGCTCTGGAATAAGCAGCCACAGCTGCTCATCAGCTTCTTTATGCCAAGCACATAAATAAGAGTGCCTACCGGAGGCCAGTGTAACGACACACATCTGTAATTCCAGCACTCTAGGAAGCTGAGGCAGGGGGATGTAAGTTTGAGCCCAGTGTAAGCAACTTAGAGACCCAGAAAAACCTTACTTAAAAAAAAGGTCTAGGGATGTAGCTCAGGCCATAGATTCAATCCTACGCCTCACACGTGTGTGTACACATGCACACACGCCCGTTGGCTGTATCTTCAAGCTACTACATGCTGTCCACCTCATCTCTTGATCCCATTTTCCAAGCTCCAGAGCACACATACCAATGGCATTGTTCAGTGCATATTCCTCTCTGAAGAAAATTCGGGACAGTTCCTGTTTTGCCTTTGCAGCGTCTGAGATTACTAAGGAAGGAAGGAAAGGAATAATCACAAGTCAGAAAGGTATTTTCTAATCACGATCGTCAGATGAATTAAAACTACTCTGGTCATCCTGGAGGCAGAAAGGACTCTAAAATTGCCTAAATTAAAGCTTTGAAGCCACCCACGCCTCAGAGGTACTAAGAGATCCACAGTTCAGTGTCAAAGCTTCAAGACAAAACTATTTTATTTACTGAGCTATTACTATTTCGTTTGCTTGGCTGATTTTATTTTCATCCACAGCTCTTGGCTCTGTCACTAGAACCTCCGTTCCTCAAAGCAGGCCATAAACTGCACTCTTTCCCTGCCCTCCTGGCGGGGGGCTGGTCACTCACGAAGCTGTTCTCTGACTCCTCTTGTGTGAGAGCAGATGACGGGACCCTCACATGAGGAGTCTCCCCCAGATCGAGGAGGAAGAGGTCTGCAGAGAGGCAGCTGCAGCTGCATGGACAGGCCACCCTGCGACTCCCTACTCGGTCCTCTGGATGCTTTTGGTCCATCCAATTTGTCACACACCTCCACCATGCCATGCAATGAGCTCCACATGGAAACCCGCCAGGAGCCACACACGTGGCATTTCAAAAGCAGGCACAGGGCTCCATGCTTTCTCCTCACACCCATCTCTGTCTGTGTCCTCTACAAAAAAGCACTAAGTGTAAGTGTTCCCCCAGCCTTGTGAGCTGGTCCAGCAAGTTAACCAAATCCAAGGAGTGGACTGTGGGAATCAATGTTAAACCCGGTGGGTCAGAGCCCTGGGGATACAACCTGGGGCTTGCAACTGGCATCTAGAGTGGGTGGGTGGGGACCACGTAGGCACCTCTACTGGGTCATGAATAGCTAGAAAGCATGTGAAAAACTATGGAAACACATGAGCAAATGACACCGGGAAAACAGCGAGCTACTCAACATGCCTATACTGCCAGGTTATGGCTGTTATGACTGATATATTGTGTAAACTTGAGAAGTTTAGGAGTTTAACTAAGAAACTCAGCAGGGAGCCAGGATCGTTACCTTGTAAATATCATCCTTTGCAAAAGGAGGGCACAGAGATTTTGTGAGTGCTACACCTGCCGTGGAGGGGTGTGAACATGGCCTGCATACAATATAAGGGAGGAAAAGAGGCTTGCTCTGCCCCTCCTTTTGCTCTGGCTGCTTTTGCTGGCTGCTATGTTGAAGTATTGCCCCGGTGCCACGCCACCCTGCCTTGGTGCCAACTGATTATGGACTGAAACCTCCACAAACTCTGAACTAAATAAAACTTTCCTTCCTTCACTTTGGGTGTCAAGTATTTTGTCTCATCAACGAGAGAAAAGTAACTGAGGCAAATGCTTCAGGATGATTAACTCTAAATTTCAGAGTGGATCCATACAGCATAACTGGACATTTTGTTTAGGATGACTCACACAGAAATATCTAAATTTTAGAAGAGTACATGTATAGTAAAGGAAAAAAATCTATTTTCATTTTCTAATGAAGTCCTAAATTTTTCTAAAGAATTAACTTGTAACAAGAAATTCCAAAAAATAAGCAAATTACAAATTATCTTAAAAACTGGCCAACACCTTATCAGTTCTAGTGGAGGAAAAACATTTACATGGGGCAGGGGTGTGGTTTACCTCTGACATCACCCCCGGCACAGAAAGCCTTTCCTCCAGTTCCCTTCATAAGGATCAGGTAAGTTTCAGGGTCTTGTTCCCACTTCTATCAAAATGTAAAAGAAGATGGTATAAGCATATTGTAAATACAAACTCAATGAAGTCAAATCCATATGCACAAATACACACTCACATACACCTGCATGCTACCTATCTATCTCCCTGCAGACAGCACACACAGAGGAATGGGTTCCCTTCCTTCCAGTCATGGAATGAAGTTCATTTCCTTTTCCGAGATAAAATAGAGGCTAATCTAGCAATGCCACTAGATGAGTATATTTTATAAGCCAAATTTCATGATGACATCTGAAATATCTGCCGTAACTCTGAGACCAACATGAAGAGTAGTTTGCTCATGCTACGTGACATACACTGGTGAACAGATCAACCCAAAGTAGCAGTGACAGATAGAGGAGTAACCTTCCCACTGTGAGACAGGGCTCTGAAAGATCTGTAAGCATCAGGATGAAACCATTTATGATACTGATTAAATAAGCAAATGATGTGGGATTGGTAAATACCATTAATAAGCAGGCAGAATGAGGGGAGGGGTGCTCAGTGTACAATGTTCACTTTCTTAGCTTGTGTGTGGCCCTGGACTTGACCCCTAACATCACCAAAACACCAAAAAGAAAAAATAGTACAGATAGATGAAAGAAGACCCAAAAGCCAATGAAATCCAACAGACTAGAGTAATGGTCCAGGTGAAAAATTAGAGAATTTAACAGGGCTCCCATAAATTCTGTTCTTTGAGAATAAAAGCATAAATACATAAAGAAATGTAGCCAGAAAGGTGACTTATAAAAGAATAACTCAATACTGAACAATAGTAACAAAAATGTTATTCCAACCATGGGAGTTTCTAGTTTCTTCTAGTCTAACTGTAATCTGCAGGAGCTGACTTCTTCCTGTGTGTCAGATGTTAGGACAGAACTAAAGGAGTCCTGAACAGAATGGAAGAGGCTCATTAAGAACTAAGGAGCAGAGGTCAGGCGAGGACTCGTATTTGGGCAGCACCTATGTGGTGGGCTATATGAGGCTCCCGAATACGACCTCATCTTTATAATCACAGGACCAAAGATCATCATCCTCACTCACAGCTCTGGAGAGGGAGCCCTGAGGAGATTCACTTTCCCAAACTACGCAGGAAGTTTGGATCTGAGTTTCAAACACAAGTAGCCTGACTTTAAATCCTACAGTTTGCTACTGCCTCATACAACTCACTCAGAAGTTTAATGCCTTCTCTAAGAAAAAGTACGCCTCACAGTTTTAAAACACTTCTCTTCAAGATGGGCACAGTGATGCATGCATGTTAATTTCAGGACCCTGAAGGCAGGACTTCAAGTTCAAGCCCAGCCTGAGGAACTTAGTGAAACCTTAAAGAAAGAAAGACAGAAAGAAAGAAAGAGATTGAGGAGGTAGCTCAGTGCAAAGGCCCTGGGCTCAGCTTCCAAACTAGAGGGAAAAGCTGTCTTCCAAGCAAAAGGCTGTCAGGGAAGCAGACTGAATTCGTCCACTCGGCTCCAAGAGGCAGAGCGACAGCTGGTTCCCGACTGAAGAGTCGCAGGGCACCTGTGAGGCATCAGCTGTGCAGATGGAGAAGTGGCAACGAACTTTCCATGTCTAAGCAGAGCTAATGCTCAGGGACCCTGGGCCCAGGTGCCAGCCAGTTCTATCCCGATATACTCTGTTCGTCAAAAACGATGTGCATAGAGGCTTTCAGAAAACGACCGACCCGAATTTGTGCGTAAATCTGCCGTATCATCGGAAGAGTCAGCGTGTTGAGGAACTTGGGTCTGTTCAGTGTGACCACGCCCGCGCAGCCCTTCCGGTCCAGCAGGACCTCTCCGGTTGCCTCCAAGTGCCTCATCGTGCTCTGCAGGGAAAAGGGGACAGTCACTGCTCCTGCACCCCACGTCGAATGCACAATTTTCACGGTAATAACGACAGGAATGGAAATTTATATACATCTGAAGAAGGTTTCTAAAGTCAGACTCTGCAGACTGGACACATTTCAAGGCAAACTACACACGCACTTCCCCAACTTTTAATACTGAATTTGTAAGTGAACTGAATCAACTGATTTAGGATATAGCCTCCTCCTAGAATTCCCTGCGCTCTGAAATACTCTTAAATCTTTTTTTTTGTCTTTTTCGTTTTTATCGGTACCAGAGATCCAACTCACGACTTCCTGCTTACAAGGCAGGCGCTTATGCCGCTGAGCTAAATCCCCAGCCCTCTCTTAAATCTTTTTATCTATTATTGCACTTCAGACTCTATGTTCAGCACTAGGAAAGCAAAGACAAAAAAGAGCAAATAATTCCAAACAAATATGACAAACTTGGGCAAATAATAGCTATGGGACAACTTGAAAGCACAGGAAGTCCCTGGGTGAGGCTTTAATATACGAAATGAAACCGGAAGGTGACGCCTCTCTGTGGAAGAGACAATGCACACTGAGCTCTGGTCAATGAAAATCTTTAAATGTTAGGACATCAAATAGGGCCGGGGGTGCAGCTGCTAGAGAAGCAGGAGGTGGAGGAGTAAGCAGGAGTAGGACAGGGCTGCAGCTGAGAAGCCAACTCAGCAGGTGAGGGCCAGATGTTTAAATTTCGGATCTATGCGTTACATAGTTAGGAAAGGAAAGATCTACAGTCTGCAGCGAAACCAGGTGTATGGCACAGCTGGCCGCACACAATATTCCTTCACCCCACACCTGCCAGCTCATGGAACTTCGCAGTCCTGATTTGCACCACCTGTGAGGAGCTCGGGTTTAATACCCTCTTGCAGGAGACCAGACGGTGAGGACGGAGGCCTAACTGACCTTCCCTGTGAGCACAAAGGACGAAACAGTGAGCTGTGCTCTCGGAAACAAGCAGGCAGGTCCCAGGGAAGTGTGAGAGCGGCTGAGATCCACTGGCCAGCTGGGGCCTGGGCGAGGCTGTGGGTAACGGGGCAGCTGAATCTTCCTCTGCCCAGCTGCTGGTTCCCCAGTTGGACGAGTTTAAAGTGAGGTGAGCCAAAGGCAAGAGCCCTCAGCACCCCCCTTTTTTTCTCCCTTTTTTAAGAGGATTACGCCTTTATTCCTTGCTTTGCTAATGAGGCAGGCTGAGTAGTTTGCCTTTTGGTGATCAGTCAAAGAGATCAAATCCCTTGTCCTCATCTGACTCCTCCTTGGTCTCACCCTTGGCTGGGGCAGCTGCAGCAGCAGGAGCAGCAGTGGCACTGCAGTGACACAGGCAGCAGCCACAGATGCAGATGGATGAGCCGAGAAGGCCTTGACCTTTTCAGCCAGTAATCAGGCCCCACAAACAAAGCCGGACGGCTCGCGCCCTCTGATGGTAGAACAGAGCACTGCTGCCACAGCTGGGTGACAGTTCCAATCCACAGATGACACTGGCCACGCTGAGGACACCTTCTGGACAGCGAGAATGCAGTTTCCTCTGCAGTGCCAAGTGCTTCCGGGTTGTAGGTGCTGCCACTGTCAAACGCATGCTGACCAATCAGCCCCAAGGAGAAGGGGAGATGTTCCACATGTCCAGGAGGGGACCTCGCTGGCTCCCACCCTGTCTGCAGTCTGACTCAGCTGCACACACTCAGCATTGCAATGGAGCCCCTGGAGATTTTAGCAGTGATGCCCAGAGTCGGCAAGAAGGACTTCTTAAGCCCCAGACCAGTGTTCTGGACTGTCTGTTCCCTCTTTTTAAACTAATTCTGTGTCTTGTTTTTTGTTTCTGTTTGGGGACAAACTTTTAGGCATTCCGAGTAGACTCAGTTTCCTGCATCTTGTGATGTTCAGAGGGGGAGGAAACACATCCTGTGGAAGCTGAAACCATCCCGGAGCCCTGGAAAAGTCACATGACAACACATTTTCAAACACACACACTCTGACACAGTAAAGGCTGCTTCATAAATTCAACCTACAGACTAAACTTACTATTGGGCCGAATGAAATACATGTAAGGCTGTCCGGTGCAAGGTCCTTTGTAACAGTGAAAGCGGCCAGTGAGCTGGAGGTGGGGCTCAGTAGCACAGTGTATGCTCAGCGTGTGTGAAGTGAGACCCGAGCTTCAGTCCCTAGCAACGAAAAACCAACACTGACAGAAGGGCTGAAGGTGGACCTCAGTGACATCACTGATCAACATTCACAAGGCCCTGGGTTCAAGTCCCAACACTACCAAGAGGAAGAAAAACAGAGACAGACAGACAGCAGGGATGCGGCAAATGATGCAATGACCAGCATGCACATAAGTGAGGGGAACATGCTAACCTGTGATCAAACAGTGCACACTACAGAGCCTGCAACAGCGTGGGCCCGGAGCTCAGTTGGGTGGGAGGAATAAGGGACGATAATGTAACACCTGTCTGGTCCTCAGCTGTCAGCTGTGCTGCTCTCCCCACTTCTGTGATGCGCTGCATTGCACAGGTGTAATGAGCGCTTCGTCCAAGCAGCTGGCCCGAACCTTCCTGGCCAGAGCCCAGCCTCTTCCTCCAGCAGCCTGCAGCAGGGGCAGGAGCAACTCTGGGGCGCTGCAGCCTCCGAGACTCGCTCGGAGTCTTCCAACTCCAGCGCCAAAAGTGGTCTGCCTCGCTCCAGGGAAGGTATCACAACCTTCTCACTTAGCTATACTCAAAAGGTAAGTGTTACCTTTGATTCTGATTTGCTCTCCACCCATCTCTGCTGGCAATCTGAGGCAGTCACTAAATACCACATCTCCTTCTCTTCAGAGACTAACCCATAGCTGTTTCCCATTCCCACTGGTTTATTCACACACCGGTATTACAGTTACCTCTGGGCACACACACTCACAGAATCTCTGCCCAACAGTCTGTCCTCCTGAGGGCCATCAAAGGAGCACTGCAAAGCCCAATTCTGAAGTCTTTCCATTTGAAAATGTTCAGAGTCCCCAGTAAGTTACAAACATCTGGGTTATTAGACACGGACTTCAGCTTTCCTCCAATCTGACTATATGAAGAAAGGAGCTTTCCCACAGTAGGTTAAAATGCTGCTCAGGAGTTTAAAGTCCATTGCAAAGGGGAGAAAAAAGCTTCCCACGAACAGGTCTGTAGTACTACAGAGTCCAAGTCAGCCTGGGGATCCACACTGTTTCAGACACGGTGGAAGGAAGGACACGCAGTCCAGGGCAGAGGGGACGGTGGTGACACAGGCCAGAGGGCACGGAGGGGACTCTCTTGAGGTCCCATGACCGGACTTCAGGGTTTGCTCTGACTGGTGCTTGAAGGGCAGATGGATACACACAAGAGGCCCGCCAGCAGGATCCACTGGTTTACTGGCTCCAGGACGGGTCAGCCCCTGCAGAAGTGCAGAGCCTCAGCCCCGCATTGGGGTTGTACTTCCTCTGCACTGGGAGGCTCCCCAGGAACATCACACTGCTCTCGCAGATCAGTCCCGGCCCATAAGCTCATAACCTGGAATACTGTGGCCAGGGGTGTATTTCCATCTCTACTAGGACGCATCCAGGAAGTGCGACCCTCACTACAGCCCTCTCCCAGGAGGACCACTTGGAGTGATCTCGCTACAACTAAACTGGCGCTCAACACCCCAGGAGAAACCAGCTGTCTTTCTCTCTTCAGCCGCCCTGAGTCTTCCCATCCCACTGGGTCTAAAGTCACAGAAACCCCCAGTACTGTTCCAAGTGCTTTTGCTGGGAGGCTCCTTAGCCTGGGTCAGCACATTATAACCAAAAGTTTCTATATTTCTATACCAAACCAGAATATGCACATTAAAATAAAAAACAAAAAGAGCTTCAAGTATGTATGCTCAGATTTTGCCACAGAATATGCTTACCATAAACAAAAAATAACAACAATAAAACAGTTTAGAGGGTTTAGAACTGCAGATAAGACATCTGTGGCACACATCCCACAAAATGGTAATTAATTGAGCTAACATACATTGAAGACTTAGATTAGTACCTAGTTACAGCTCACTCTTTGGGGAGGTGGGGAAACTTACTGGGAATTAAACCCCAGCCCATTTTTTATTCTAAGCCCAGGCTGGGCTTTGACTTGTGATCCTCCTGCTTCCAGAGGGCTGGAGTTTTACCTGTGCACCACTCTGCCCAGATCACTTGCTATTTTTACATGTGAGGTATTCATGCAGCTCTACACAGGATATAAAAGTGAATAAAAATGATTTCTTTTTTGCAATCTGATTAACTAAAGGTATTTAGGCTTTGTGTTGTACCAGTGGGCCAACAATTCCCAATGTACAAAATTATGTGTATGTTATGCAGTATGTTATATTTTTACAATGTCTCCTCATTTCTAAGCACCGTAAGGCAGACACTTTATATACATCGGATTAAGTATCGAGCCGGTATCTAACCTGGGCATTATGTCATCACATGCTTCACTGTTATCTCACGCCAGCCTCTCCTGTGAGGCTTGCTGTCTGGGCTTCATATCACCAAATGACAGCAGTGAGGGACCAGGGTCATGCAGACCTGGCTTCCCTGTGTTTCTCTCCTTCCCTGACAGTGGCGTTTGAAGTCACACATAACGAACTAATAAGGTCAGCAAAGCCAAGCCCAGACTCACCAAGTGTTGCAGGATGACGCTGGTTCTTTTGAATGCACTAAACCTGAAACAAATGTAGAATACAGTGAGCACAGCAACCAGGGTGATTATATTTCAGTTTACAAATACTTTATCTCCTTTTGCTTAAGTCGCTTCTAAAAGTTACTTAAAAAAAAAAAAAACTAAAGATTTAATTCTCATTCATTGTTGATAGGTACAGCAATGAAACAGAGTTGCAGATCTTACCAGATTCAGTGATCCCATTGCCAGACTTTAACACATTAAACAGTTACATCAAAAAGAAATCTGCCCATGAATTTTATGTTAGCTTCATTCATAACCGCCAAAATGTAGAAGTAATGAAGATGCCTCCCAAGGGGTAAAGGACAAACTAACGTTGGCACATCTGTATGACAGCCATACAGACATGAGCTGTCACGCCACAGGAACACACAGAAGAAACTTCAGCCTGCAAGCGAGGCAACAGAAGTGAATCAAAAAGCCTCCACACTCCTACTGTAGAATATTCTGGAAAAGGCAACAGGAGGAGTCTACAGAAAGACTGGCAGAGCGGCCAGAGGTTGGGGGACAGTAATGACTTTGGGGAGACTCATCTGTTCAGGGAGTCTGAAGCCAGTCTATACCACACTGTCAGCATGGGTATGTGGCCTTACACGTTTGTCAAAAGTTTTCTGCTCAAATCTTCTGCTCAATTTGTCTGTGAACTTAAAAATGTTCTCAGGGGCTGGGGATTTAGCTCAGCACCCAAAGCACCTGCCTGGCAAGTGTGCAGTTGTGAGTTCAATCCCCAGTACCGATTTTAAAAAAAGTTCTTAAAATATTGTAAAGCCAGGTAAGGGTGCAGTAAGATGGGCATTTCCAGACACTGCTGTGAGACGTAGAGGCCACTACTACCTTGCTGATAAGCAATATGGAAATACAGATGCACGGCCTTTCATATGGCTGAGGGCGTCATTTCACAGGTGAACTGGTTTAAAACACGAGTGGGCTACTTGTCATGTTTCCCCCAAGTCGTTTTCTGTGGCTGAGGCCACTAGACACCACTTAAAACAAGTATGAATTTATATTCTATGTTGTATCATCAGTCGCCTCTCCGTTCTTGAGGCAGATATTGTTTTTAGTCATTCTATGCTTTAGTATGCTTGCAAGACAAGATCATCACCAGATACACGAATACTACAAGGCTTCCAGGTTTTAGAGGGAAAAATCAATAAGCCAAAGCCACAGTTAGCTAAAAGACCAAGGTAAAACACAATTATTTTAACAAGGTATGGTTAATAACAAATGAGCCCAAACCAACCTGAGGGGTTTTCCACCCACAGTTCTGTGCAAAAGCACTGCATATGCTGGCTTATGCACCACTGTACTTACTAGAACTATGCAAGACTACACATGTGATTCTAAAACTAAATCCACGTTTTACTCTCTTGAAGCGCACAGCAGCTCTTTGTGAAAGCAGTTCTCACAGCTTTGCTTACAGCCAGCTAACAATGGTTCACATACTATCCTAACCCACTGTCCTCTACATTCTGTTGCCCTGTTTTCTAATTTTTACTTAAATCTTGAGACAGTAACTTTT